CGCCCCCGCGCGGGGGATGTGGCTTGGCCGGTGGCCTGCTGGTGTTGAGCTCCCCACCGCCACTGCTGGTGGACCTGCTTGTGCCAATACCCCCTCTCTTCGCCCCTTGTTTTGGATCTGACCGTGGCCTAACCTCCCTTTCCCGCTGTATAATGGATCGTTCTGCGTGCCTATATTTCTTTCCACCCTAACTTACAATGGACTCGTCCTTCATGGTCTTGTCCCCCCACCCCTCACTTACTGGGTACCAGTCTGTGGCATTGTCCAACCCTCTTAATAGTAGGTGCCTCTGAGTGTTTGTATTTCTCCAAGCTTCAACTTTCAGGGGACCTGTCTTTGGCCTTGTTTATTCCACCCCTCTGTTCCTTGTAGTGAGTCGATCCGTGCGCTGTAACCCCCACCCCTCTCCTCACTCCTCCAACAGTGAGTCCTTCTGAGTTTGTATTCCTGCCTCCCCCAACCCCCATTGCATCAGTCCATGGTTTTCCCCACTACTTATAGTCCATTACCCTGACTTTCCTCCTTTATTCATAGACTCCAGTCCTTGGGCTTCTCCCTCTTTTAATAGTGGGTCAGTTTGGTGCTTTATATCTTTTCATTTGCAGCATGACCTTGTCCCTCTCTCCCTTTATTCACTGAATGATGGCTTTTTCAGTAAGTTTTTCTGCTGCTCCCCTCCCAAAAATGAAGGGTAGCCCCCTACCTTTCTAGTGATCTGTTTCCTGGCCTGCTTACTCCCACTGTGCTTGCTTTCACATGCACCCCCACACACCATATCCTCCTGTAATCTTATGCAGGATCAGTCTGTGATCTTCCCTAAGCTTCATCTCTTAGACCAGCCCGTGTACTTGTTGAACCAGGGCTTTTTACTGTAGAGCACACTCACTTGCAGATACTCTTAATCCCCAAGGCATTCTGTTTCACTACAGTAAGCAAATGCATTAGAGATATTGATGATAATACCGATATGAGCTAACATTTATTGAGCTTCTGCTATGTACCAGGTAGTGTTTTCTATTCATGAGCCATTTAATCCTCATCACAACTGTATGAGATAGATACTGAGGAAATTGGGGCATAGGGAGTTAAATACTCAAAGGTGGCCCAGTAAATACTAAGGGAACAGGATCATTTTTGAGGCTTCTCTGTTTTACTTCATCACTCCCCCCACGTGAGGCCCCATTTCTTAAAAACCAAATGAGTTCCCATCTCCAGGCTTTTGTTTGGCTCTTCTCTCTGCCTGCAGAGCTGTCTGTTTCACACCTGGTCTCAGCACCCACCCACCCCAATGCCAGGAGCTATATAACCTTAGATAAATGACTCAACCTTTTTCTCCCTGTACCTGTTTCTAGAAAGGGGAGTCAGAACTAGAATCCCCTCCAGTGCAAATAAAACATACCTGTGAGTTAATAAAGCGAGTCACCTCTCTGGCCTTCCCTCCCTCATCCCATACCCTAGAGCTGTGCTCTAATGATGAACTTCTCCTAAATGCTCCTCAACCCAGCAGGCATGGGCCAGCTTCAGGGTGATTGCATTGGCTGTTCTTTCTGCCCCAAAACTGCATCCTGGCATGGTTCCTTCCAGGGCCTTGTTCAAGTGCCAACCCCTAAAGAATTTGTTCACCACATTCTGGCGCAGGAAACACACTACATGAAGACGCATGTATAAAAGGTATTTCCAAGAATACCAGTTGATTTATGAATAAGGTGACTTATTTCATTGAAAGGATATGTTCACAGAAGTGTGATGTATAATATTCTGAAGGCACAGAGAGAAAGATATTTCTAAGGGCACTTTTATTTCATTGCACCTGGGTGGTGTTATTTCAGTAAAGCATGTGTTTGTCACACTGTGGTGCTTGAAATACACTATATAAAGACACATGTATAAAAAATGTTTCTGGGCTGGGGATTTAGCTCAGTGGTTCCGCTGCCTGCCTCACAAGCGCAAGGTCCCAAATTCGATCCCTGGTACCAAAAACAAAGCAAAAAGAAAAATGTTTCTAAGAATGCTATTTGTGTTTTTTTTTTTAAGTCAGCATCCCCTGACCATCTGATCTTGTACACCAGCAGGACTCAGGTCCCTTCCCTGCTTTGACCCTTTGCCCTCTGTCATTATCTGCCACACTGTACAGTTTGCATGTTCTGTTCCTCCCCATGAGGACTTACAGATTTTGCCTGATTATTCACTGCTCCTTTTTCAGCACTTAAAAATGTACCTGGTATACAGTAGATACTTGAGAAAAAAATTATAGCATGAGTAAATTGGGGAAATGATCATTTCATACAGCACTGTGGGGTCAGATGGAGAAGAGATATGATAGCTAATTAAGGTGTTAGTTTGGACTGTTCAAGTATTTACTGCACACCTAGTGAGTCCCAGGCCTTGTTTTAGGGGCAGGGTGAGTAGATAGGCAGAAATCCCTGCCCTTGTGGAGCAGACACTTAATAAAAATGAGAAAGACAGACTATATTGCAAATAAACAAGTACATTTAGGCAATTGAAGTCATAGGTATAGGACAGGCCAAACTTGGAAAGGTTACTCTTGAATTAAGGCCCGAGGAGATGAGGGGAAGAAGCTATAAAGTGTAGGAGAAGAGTTTACCTGACAGAAGGAATAGCCAAAGGCTGTGCAGAGGCCCAGGGGTAGGATTGTTCCTGCCATGTTCAAGGAACGTGAAGGAGGCCAGTGTGGCTGGAGTGAAATGGAGGGGAGGGATAGAAGATGTGGTCACTGAGGTGACGAGAGCCAGATGGTGTGGGCCGTAGGCCATGGTGTTACAACAGCATTTGAGGGGAGGAAGAACTGTGACATAGTAGCTAATGGCTGCCATTTCTTGAGGGATTACCATGTGCCAGAGATACTTTTCTAAATCTTTTACATACACATTTAATCCTGATAAAAGCCCGTGAGGGTAGGTATATTTTTGAAAATATTAGATTTTAAAAGTCAAATATCCCCATTTCACAGATGAACAACCGTGCTCATAGAGGTTGAGCAACTTGTTCAAGGTCCCACAGACAGTACAGCAGAGGGGTACGAGGCTGAAGACCAGAGAAAAGAGCTCAATTTAAAAGGGCAAACAGTTTCCTTGGTGTGTTGGATCATGCAGAGGAAGAATTAATTCTGCCTGGGAGGAACTGGGACTTGATTGTGTAATAGCATTTGTCAGGGGAGGGAATGGCACTTCTCACAGGCAGAACAGCGTGTGCTTATCCTCAGAGTTAGGAACTCTCCTGTGAACTGTGGCTAGTGCACTGACAACCTCAGAGCCTTTGGACATGCTATTTTTTTTTTTTTGGTACCAGGGATTGAACTGGGGATCTTGTGCTTGCGAGGCAGGCGGCAGAACCACTGAGCTAAATCCCTGGCCCTGGACATGCTATTCTGTCTGCCAGAAGTCCTTTTCCATATATGTCAGCATGGCTTGGTACCTCCCCTCCTCTGGGTCAAATGTCACTTTTCCCAGGGAATACCTCCCTGTTCACCCTGTATAGAACAACATCCTTGTCGCCCTCTAGGGTCCTACCCTTTTGTGTTTCTCTTCATAGACAGCTGGTGTAGAGTGGCTCGGATTGCTGACTGGAGCCATGTCACCTGGGTTTGAATATCAGTTCCACCAGCTTCCAGCTGTGTGACCTTGGACAAGTTACTTAACTTCTCTGTGCCTCCTTTTCCTCATCTAGAA